AGATGGCTGAGGGTGGGAGGGGAGGAGCTACAGTTTTAAGCAGGAAATTCAGGCTTTTTGAGAAGGTGATCTTTGAGCACAGATCTGAGGTTAAGAGAAGTCTTGCAGCAATCTGGGAGAAGAGTGGTCAGGAAGGGAGCCCCAAATAGGGAAAAACCAAGTGTCTGGGTAACAGTGAGGCATCTAGTATAGCTAGAGAGGATGAGTGAGGGCAGAGACTGGTGAAAGTGTGGTCAGGGGAAAAAAAAAGAGTCTCTTGGCTATGCTATGCTCACTGATCCAGGCAGTAAATCCCATACACATTTAAAAAGGTTTAAAATACAAAGAATTTTCTGGTTGATACTTAGATAACAAGAAAGTTCAATTAACTAGAAAATCCTATTCAACCATTTTGGAATAACCTAGAATGTGTGTGCATGTACAACACAGTTATGCAGGTTCTGCTCTTGAATGGCAGGCACAGAAAAGGAAAGCCCTTGCTTCAAAAGTCCGACAGGATGAGCGTCTGGAGCTAAGCTGTGCTCATGGTTTTGCGGGTATCCGCCTGTGGCCTTGGCAGAGTCATGGACCTGTTTGGGGCCTTGGTAAACTGAGGCTAATTACACTCACCTAAAACTGGGTTGCCACAAAATGAACATGCTGTCAACTTGTATATTAAAGTCCAAATAGGTGTTTACTTTTTATGCAAACTGATGGAATCAATTTTCCACTAGCCTGTTAGTAATATTTACTACTACTTCACATCCATATATAATCTACATTGTTTTCTAGCCAAAAGGTTTTCCTTGAAACTGTGGCATATTTTCAAAAGTGTTAAAGCTGGAGTGTTTCAACAAATGGGCCAAAACTAAATTGTTATCTTTAGGAAAGAGCAAAAGAGAAAAAAACCCAGAAACAGTCATGGTGTGTAATGGTCTCTAGGAAGGAAATGAGGGAGGCCCGCTGAGCCCGGCCGGCGACATGCGTTTGGCCACATGTGCATAAACACACTGTCTGACCTCTGGCTCTGCAACAGGGGACCTTGGGCAAGTTTTCTTTGAGCTTCAGTCTACTTATTTGTGAAACCTGGATTACAACAGTGCCTGATTTGTCAGGAGTGATTTGAGTACTTAGTATAGTACCTTGTAGTACTAAGCAGGTTCTCAGTCAGTACTAAGAACTCTTACTGCCTAGGCCTGGCACTCAGCAGACTGGGAGATCACAGGTGGGGTCATCACATTTCATCTCACTGTCTTACAAGTTCTTATTAATAAAGCATTTCTGAATAATGCTTGTATCCAGGTTTAATTAATTAATTCGCTCTACATATTTTCTGAGTGCTTTGTATGTGCCACATACTGGAACACAAATAATTTTCCTTACCTAACAAATTTCCCATTAGCAATGTTCTAAAATAGCTAATCTCTTGAACAGAATTTATTTTCATGCTAATTTTGGTTCCTTCTCAACAATTTAGGACTGAATGCTTGTTAAACATTAGTCTTTTCAACATAAGGAAGCTCAGTGAGATGTTAAATGGCCGATAATGTGACCTCCTTGCTTATAAACTGAAGAATGTCTGATACGCACTATCTATAGAGCCCAGTGAGCCAAGCTCTAATGGGAAATGCCCAACCTTCACATGCTGCTAACTGGGAAACTTTCTAGGTGTAAGATCTTGAGGCAGATGTACTTTTATAGTACAGATTGGGAAAAATTCCTGGTTAGGGCCATTCCATAATATGCATCTTGGAACTAGGTAATGACATAGTCTTCATGAGTACATAAAATTGTGATTAAGGTCGGTGCTACATTCCATTTAAAGAGGCTTGTTATGGAAAGACCTAGAAAACATTTAGCACATTTTTATTTCAAAATTCTGTTGTTTTATACAGAAAAATGTTTAAAAGGGTTTAAGATAAGTGTTGATAGTTGTATGCATGTATGTGTGACTAGATGTCAACTCAAGTGGTTTCACCCTTACTAGCATAGAACGTAGTTATCTCTACCTGACATGCACAGTAAATGTTTAAAGAAATCTGCCTTTATTTTAAACAGACATCTGATGGTGGATGGTGGAAATCCTGACAAAACAATTTAAATTACTTTCCTTCAAACACCAGGGAATATTTCTAATATTTGGAATAATCATAAGCTAGCTCTTTAAAAGAGAATTTCAGGCATTTCTCCCTGTAACACCCGGAAGACAAAATCTTCCTTGAATAAGTTTTATGTGACTGTGGAAACTTTTATAACGATGCAATAAGAGCATAAAAATTTAGCAAATGACAACCTGTGTGTAACAACACTTAATATATGTACATATTTCTTTAGGTCATACAGAGTTGGGCTTACTACTAAAAAAGCCTGTTATCAGTAATGGGGCAAAAGATTTCCGCATTTCAATAAGAATTCTGGGCTGTACATCGTATATGTTAATAATCTTAATCTTAGTTAAAATGTTCACTTTACAGAATAGATTACTGTGTACCATATTACAATTATTGGTAAGGGTAGACATGATATAAACATGATGGTCCATGCACATAAGAATCTGAAATCAAATCCTGGTGAAAATTCAGGCCGTTGCTTACCGGACCCTGAAGACTTCCATCCTCCCTGTCGATGCTGCCTCGGGAGAGCCGCACATCAGGTTTCTAAAGAAATTAACACAAAACCAAAACAGTTTTTGATTTGAAAATTACTGCCAGATTCTGTGTTAAATTCCTTCCTTTGATAACACAATTGTCCTCTGAATAAGAAGAGTTGAAAGTTTCCCAACTTCAAAAAATTCTCAAAACCCAGTGACGATGAATGAGGGACAGCTGCCTTGGGAAGGGCCCAATTTACTTCTGTCCACACACACGGCACAGGCTGCACCTGCACCACAGCCCCACACCGTGCTGGAAAACCTGCACTTCCCCTCTCTTCAGAGCAGCACAGCAGGCTTTCTTCTTCACTGAGAGAACCTTAACCCCAGGATAAAAACACTAGGCACTGCTTTCTGATTCCTGGTAGAGTATGGATTATATGGATTTGGCTGGCTGTCTTGCCAAAGCAGCAAATGGGGCCGATTACCAGATTTTTTTTTACATAATGCATCTAGAACAAAGAAACTAAACAGAGAAATCTGGATTTAATGTAAATTAAGAGTACACAAATTTCACTAATATTAGAATAAACAAAATAGGTTACATGGCTATATGGTGGTTTTTTACTTACGAAAACCACCCTATGATCCACAGTACTGGCTTTCGTGAAGCCTTCAGCTGGCCACACTGACGCCTGCCTCCCCTTTGCCCATGCCAACTGGCCACACACTTAGGCCTGGAAAACTTCGCTGCTTTCTTGAAGACCCAGCCACGTACCCACTCTCTGCAGCACGGTTCCCTCCTCCTCTTCAAGCAGAATTGGTCACTTCTTAGTCTATGCCTTATGGAGATCCTCTATGTTGGTACATATCATGCAGTAATTACTTCCCTGATTAGACAAGGAACATCTTGATGTCTAATTTGTCTATCTCCTACTTTCTGTACCTGACAAGGGCCTGGCTCTTGTCATAATCCATTAGCACTTGTTGGGTGGGTGATGGGAGAAATGAGCTTCATCTCTCTTTCCCAGTTCCACTGGTGTAGACCAAGTCCTCTCACAGTATCAGCTTCCTAGCCAGTCTCTCTGCTTCTGCTCTTGACCACTTCTAATTAAAGCACTGTTTTCATTACATTACATCTTGACTGCTCCTTCATGGTCTATCCTGATCAAGTACAAATTTTTCATTGGGCATTGAAGGCCTCAAATCTCCTTCCACCCATTAGAATCCGTGTGGGCACCAGGTTGTAGTGGGACATCGGTGAAGAACACATCCACCATTAAGACCAGAGTGATCCTTTGATGGCTCAGAGATGAACTCCTTTCTAGGACAGAGGCCCTGTACTGTCCTTGGCTGACTCCCCCTCACCCCTCTTTTCTTTTCCTTTAAGTGTAGCACAGTGCCTAGAAGGTAGTGGGCTCTCAATGAATGCTGAGGTCTGACACCAGGTAACACAAGGAAATGGGTAAAGGAGTTACTGATGGTTAGTCACAAAGAGAAGGTTCTGGGTGAAAGCTGTTAATGATCCTCAGGGTTGTCATGTGGGAAAGTGTGATATCTGTGTGCTGCCCTTGAATACTGGACAGATTTTAGCTCATTTATGGAAGAAGTTTCTAATAATCAGAGGCATCCTGAAAAAGAAGAGATAGCCCTGAGAGTGGCAGCAGAGAGTAGGTAGAGGGCAAAAGTCACATCTTACCTGTTACCTTTTCATTCAACAGAATTTACAAAACACATAATGTGTACTAGCCCCTGTAACCTTAGTGCATGGCACAGTTTCTGCTGGCACATGCACACACTCAATAAGCTGCTGTTGAATTAATTTCCAAGTTTTATGTTAAAAAAAAAAGACATTCCCTTTGATGGAAAAATAATAGCTAAATAAAGGTAGAAAATGACCTAAATCCTCAATGCATGTTAAGAAAGCAGACTTCTACAAAGTATGATAAAACTCTGTCCATAAGTAAATCAGAAAAGTTTTATATAAATATTTCTGAACTCTGAAAAGCATAACTTGAAAAAAACTCTAAAGGATAAAACACTGTACCATGTTTGTATGCACTAAATCACTCAATCTTACCATTTTGAGGTAACTATGATTAGCTAATATTATGGTGTAAATATATGTTGACAAAAATGGGACCATGCCTTATGATTTTGCAGATTTCAAGTAATATTTATAAAGGGGAAACTGATTAAAACAATGTTAAAAGACTGCACAACATTCTACTTTACAAATGTCATCATGAAACAGAAAACAGCATTGAAGGATGTGAGCTCTGGCAACAGGAGGCCCGAGTTCAGATCAGGCTCCAACCCTTACAAGCTATGTGACCTGGGCCTCAATTTATTCACCTCTAAAAGGGAACAGTAAGTCATAACCTCATTAGGAGGATGAAATGAGTTAATACTGCCAAAGTACTAAGTCAGTGCCATATAAGTATTAAAATCAAATTCTCCTATTGTTGGATATTTGGGTCATTTTCAAAATCTCAATGTATATAGATTGTGGATAAACACTTTTGTATACAAATCTTTGATCAAATCCTTGATTACTTCTCAGGGACAGATTTCTAAGATAGGAATTACTGAGTCAAAGGGTTTGGACATTTGGAAAATTCTTGGTGTAAGTTTCCAAATTGCTCAAGTTCTGCTGACATTTACTAGTGATGCAGTACACAAGAGCACTTCTCTCACTGTACTCCTGCAGCCCTGTATTATCATTTTAAAACACTGCTAATACTTAAGTGAAATACTGCACATCGTAGTGATTTTCCCCTCTTTTCCCAAACAGTTGAACATTTCTGTTTATCACTAGATGTTAGGCCCTATGAAGACAGAGGCTATAGAGCTGTTGACTTCAGTACTGTACCCGTCACTTGGCAGGATGCTGGGAGGAAATGAAGGCCCTGTGCACTCTGCCTGTGGACTTTCCACACACTCTGGACAAGGCTTTATTTAACTTCTCCAGACCCATTGCTGCAGCTGTAACAAGATGGTTATCAGATGGTTATCCATACCTTAGATGGTTATCAGAATTAGAGATATGCTTGGCAACACTGTGCACACAGCAGATGTGCAGTATTAATAAATATGTGCTGAAGGAATGCCTTAATGAAAATGCAAGGCAGAAGAAATATTTTATAGATGAGAAACTTGAAGCTCAGAAAGATGATTTACCTGTGTCAGGCAAACAGCTCTTAAAGAGTAAAGGTGGTTGCCTTTGTTTACTGCTAGGATAAAAAAAAAAAAAAAAAAAAAAAAAAAAAAAAAGAAAAGAAAAGAACTTCAGATCCTAGATTATTTTTTATTGTGTGCATGGCACTCACTCTAGCCTGGGCAACAAAGCGAGACTCTATACAAAAAAAAAAAAAAAAAAAAAAAAAAAAAAGAGTAAAGGTGGGCTTCAATCAGTCAATAGATGGTAAGTACCTTCCAAGTGCAGGAAATATTTTATCTCCTTTTTTATTTAAACAAACAAAAAAGCAACTCATATTTATTGTTTGTTTATAGAATAAGGAACTGTGTTTCATGCACATCCATAAATTATCTACTTGTATTTCCATATAAATCCCATAAAATGACTTGTTTTTTATGCATCATTCTCTTGTGGTATTTTCCTAAAGAGAAGATTTTAATTTTAAAATGAGAAAGGTCTATTTTTATAAAGTCCACTTGTGTTCTATGAATGGAAATAAATGCTTAAGCTTTTTTCTCATACAGCAGACACAGCCTGTCTGAATGAAGAATAAGTGCCAAGTTTGGAAATGAAGAGCAATCTAGGTAAAGATAGCCAATCAAAAAAAACCCATTCTCTTCTTTTTTCTGCTACTGGGTGAAGTGAAATCCTCTTGTTTCCCCTTATAGAATATTTTAGATCTAAAGACAGTTCTATCAAAAATAAAATGACATAATTTACGTTTAAAATCTTATACAAATGGATCATAGACATGATGTGAATTGCAATTTGATTATTTTCCCCACCAGGTATGCATTTCATTTTATAAAAACATAATTATAACTTATATATAATAAAGTACATAAATCGTAAGTGTAAAGCTCAACATATTTTTATATATGTGTACATTGAAAAAAACTACACTCCCCAGATTAAGATAACAGAACAGGTAACCTGGCAGGTTCCTATATACCCTCGCTAGTTGATACCTGCCCTAAACTCTCAAAAGAATACTATGCTAACTCCCAGCCCCATACATTACTCCAGCGTGTTTCTGAATTCCACATAAATTCAACTGCAAAATATGAACTGTTCTGCGTCTGGCATCATTTGTGAACGTTATGGGAAATTCAGTCCTGTGGCTGTGTGTGGCAATAGTTTGTTCTCTTTTTATTGTTGTGCAGTATTCCATTGTATGACTATTGGTCCATTTTGATGTTAATGGGGAAATAGCTTATTTCCAGTTCCTAGCTACCACAAATACATGCTGTGAACATTTTTTTTACATGTAGGCATGTGCACTCAACTCTCTTAGGCACACGTCAGAAAAGCAACTGCGGGATCACAGGTAGAAGGCACATTCCCACCAGGAGCAGATGGTAGCTCTGGTTAGTGCACGGCCTGGGAAGGCCCTGCTTGAGGTTCTGGGGACACAGCAATAAACAGCTCAGTCAGTCTCTACTCTCCCATTGGTATCACCCTAGGAAACTTCAAACTTGAGGCTTTCAACTCAAAGTCCTTTACCCTTTGACTATCCTATGCTGCCTCCGCATATGTAATCTGGTATGAGGGGAAACAGGAGGGCTGTGGCCTCACTCAGTGGCAGAGATGGGAACAGCAGCTGTTTTCTGATGGGCAGCCTCTTGCCACTGCTCTCTGGGTCCCCATCACAGCATTGATCTTCTGACTGACTGGATGAAGGAGAAGAAACCTCAAATATTTCTTTCCTTTCCCAGAACACAAAGTAGGATTTACACAGACACAACTTTCTCATTTTAAAGTTAAAATCTTGTTTTTAGCACAGTACATTAGAACATTACTGTGCAAACGGTAATAAAAAGAAACAAGTCACAAAGTTACTCTATTTTTAAGCAAAACTCAATAGGAAA